TACGTTGCGAAATGATACTATTTCCAGTACACAACTTCGTTGGCATGAGCTCTGTCACTTCGGATTTTATCCAGTCCATTACAGCACGTGTCCGGACTTCGTCATCTACAGCGTCGGCCACTTGTGAAAAAGCTTTACACATCTCGTCATATCTCAACTGTCCTGGAGTACTGACCAGACCATCGTAATTCACTACAACCCTCGTATGTGGTCTACGGACATCTATTCTCCACCTTCGTAGTGTGTACTTATCTGGCAATCGTGTAACGTCGTTTCGGATCAATACTGTAATTGCGTGTCTGCAAATAATCCCCCTGAACTTGAATAAGTGGCAACTGCAATTTATCTCACAACGCTCCATATCAAATAAGACGAGAAATGTTTTTTTCTTCCGTTGCCCATGACACATCACATCATCACGCATCTCATATGTTGTCCCCAAACACCCCTCAGAAGTAGAAATGAGGTCACAGTGAACCTTTCCCTTGAACTCATCTTGTACTTCTCTGAATTTCGAAATGGTGTAAACTGACTGGAAATGCTTCTCGATTTCGTAATTCGTTGCGAAAGGCACCATTTGTGAATATGACCTGAAATCAGCCTGGAACTCCTTCTTCGCCTTACTTCTCAGGGCTCTTTCGTATTGCTCCACAAATTGCTTCAACGAGGTCTTCGAATACACATACCCATCGAAGAATGTATTCATACTCTCACTTCGTTGAGTTGTGGACATCCCAACCCAGAATGTGGTTCTTAAGAAGCTAGGAACCCAACGACCTCTATTATCATACAATCCCAACAACCACTCATTCTCATGTAAGTCATAAGCATCAATCATCTGTTCCTACCCCTCTTCGAATTCTTCAGCAGTTTGTGAATCGTAAACCAAATTATGCAAAGTCGAAAATATCCTGCACTTATCAACGTAATACCCAAACTTTTCCGACAGCTTCTTCAAAATGTGCCATAGACACCATCTATGTCTCGTGCATGGGAAAACGAGCCCCTTGATCAGTAATTATTGCATTTGGAGCTTGTCCATACATGCACTCAAGCCTCGTCCTGAATAGCCAGACTAACGTATCAGTGTCCTCATTAGCTAACAAACCACAACCAAGTAATATTAATTGCCCATGATGATTTACTCCAACAAAAGGGGCAAACGGCATGTCGTACTTGTTCGTTAGGTAAGTGGTATCGAATGTCACAACATCGCCAAACTCTTTGTACGCTTGCCTACACCTATTATCTGCCTAGAAGACATTCTTTAGTTGACACTCGTCATCTAAATCAATGCTGAAGTAAAATTTCGAGCACTTTGCTTGCATTTTCGAAAAGTACGACTATATTGCAGTTGCCTCTCCCTCTCCAAGTCTTGAACGTCTAAGTTGTTCGATATAGTTTCTGCATTCCTTCTCTATACATGTCACGTTCTCATATCCACCTACTTCCGCAAGTTGTAACTTTTATGTAACGGAATGCCTGCAACATCATTCACTTCAAGTTTACGTTTCACATTTGCACTCAACTCCCTGTTGCATCGGTACAACCTAGATTTAGAAGGACTAGTCTCATGGTTGTGATCAAGGTGGATTGTGTTAATTCTCCATCTTCCACGACAATCTGAAGAGGCTGAGATCCTTGCTTTACAGTCAATTTGGCATATCGATTTAGGCTTTAAAGACCCATCCGCATTACTACTTCTTCTGTCTTCACGACTGCATGTGAAAGTTACATATCTCAGAATGCCATCATCCCCTTTTTTTGAGTTTCGTCTCCTAACAGGAAAACCTATATCATAAGCATATCTCTTGTACGTCTCAAACATTTATGTTTCGTTGTTGAACATCATTCCTACCTCCGATACAATCGGACCATTTTCTCCTAACCTTTCATCCTCAACCCTGTTCATATTATCTGCACCATTATCATTGGAGGACTCTACCAATTCATCATTCACATCTTCCATAATCTTTCCACTGCAGCAAAACAAGGGGTATCGTTCATCAAAATATAAACCATTTACATTGCACCATGCACTATCTTAGCAAAATCACATAATGTGGTGGTAAAATTATGAATTTGGGGAGTTCAACAAGGGGATATACCACCATGCAGTAGCTTAAGAATCTAAAATCACATATTGTGGTGCTACAGTCACAAATTTTAGGAGTTCAAGAAAGGGAAATACTCATGCAGTAACATTTTCTTCGCATTTCGAATAGACAGTTTCATGATTAATTCTTTTGAATTGGAAATGCATTTGAATGAAACCTTCTTATTAGTTCTTCTAAAAAATTGGCTGCAGTAAAGTGAAATCAAGTGACGGTTTCTTAACAAAGGCATGTTGATGCATTAACGGTTAATTGCAAAATCAACTAAAGACAGTAAATTGAAAACAAGTGCAAGTACAATGCTGGAACAATGGCGTGCTTCCAGTCCAGAATCAATCGGATGTACAGAACAAATGCAATCTAACAAGAATGTTGCAGTAGCTTACGTATAATGGCGTGCTTCTAATCTCCGAAAATCTGCAATGAAAACGGTTGCTGGAGCCGCAGGATAATGCCCGAACCACAGCGTACTGAAGACCGCAGTTAAGTGGAAAGGAAGCCCATTTCTCGAACATTCGACCGCATCGAGTGGTGTACAGGTCACTAGAGTTTATACTATGACCGGAGGTGGGAAGTGGCCGAAGAATATGGTGGGTGTGTCGTCGACTGCGTGAGAAGAGGTTTCAGAGAGCTGAAATCGAGGGTACAGGGTGCGCCGACTTCAGTCCAGCTCTCCGGTGTTTAGATTGACTCCGGCGGTGGGGATGTGGCTGAGCGTCGATCGGAAATGGGGCTTGTGTGAGAGCTGGAGAAAACGAATTGCGGGAGGGGGAAATGAGGCGCGGTCTACTAATTCTCCCTCCTTTTGTTCTCTGTGTCAGTCCTTTTTTTCTTTTTCTTTTTTTAATTCTGCAGACGTCACCAATTTTTTGAATCCCTGTAGAAGACCTATGAACCACCCCTGTACCCCAAGCATTATTCTTCTTTTTTTATTATTATCTATTTTTATCATTTGCAAATAAAAAATTGACAAGTGTGTATCTTAAAAAAGTCTTATCAAACTTTTTCTTGACACATAGCATCAATCTTCATAATTTATAAAATTTCTACTTCTTTGATAGGTAAATAATTGAATGATGCGATAATTTTATTTATTTATTGCATTATTTAATATTGAGCATGCAAATGAAATTGCCAATGATCACTTGAGATAATGTAAATTGAATATTTGCGTTGAGAAGTATGGTGTGATACAACTTATATTTTGATAATAAATAATTTATTCAAAACTAATGAATAAGGGTTGGCACATTGTACTACAAGGTTGTAATGTTGACCGATTTACCATTCAGGTTTGCGATTTGTTCTTTTATAGAAATAGTTAAATGTGACACTAGTATACTTAGAGTGTATTGAATGGACATCTAGAATTTAATTCTATAGCATGACCGTGCGGAGAATTAAATTCCACTAGACCATTGTGTATTTTATTTAAATCCATTGACAATATTATGTATATTTTTTCTTAATTTTAATGGTTCTTTGTTTCATCAATGGGTGAAATCAATTTGATTGACCAAATATCTCGATGAGTTGGGAATTTGAGAATGAACGGAGTAGAGAACATGAATTCGTGTTGAGAATTGTGGCTCTAAAAATGGATAGAGTGACTACTTACGTATTTTCTATTGACGGTTAAAATCTGAGTTTAGTGTTTAACGACGGCTAAATTTCGACATCCGTGATTACTTTGCAGGACCATTAAGAAAATGAAATTTAAGTTGGTGAGGATAATTAGAGGAGGAAAATGGTCATTTTTGCTCATACCCAATTATCGGATCTCGGACAGGGATCAAATACTTATACAGCAGGTTAGAGAAAAGTATTATAGATTTATTTGCTTCTATGATCTTATATATTTCAAAAGTTCGGTCTTTTACCTTTAGTGAAAAAAGCAAAGATTAATAATTAGATTGGGTGGTCTAGAATCGACTAAACATGATTTAATTATCAGAACTTGGATAATATATGTCCGATCAGGTCCCTAAGATAGCTTCATGAAGTATTGGAACATAATTACGATAATTATAATAGTTTTGAGTTTAATTGTAATTACCATAAAATTTTGTACTTAGTTGTAATTACTATGAAAATTGTAAACTTAATTATAATTGTAATTGAAATTTTAAGACTACACATTAATTAAATATAAATTAATTGGATTTTGACTTTAATTTTAATTAGAACTCCTATTTGAATGTGGAATTAAATGTAAACTAATTGAATTTGGACTTTAATTTTAATCAGAGGTCATATGAAATGGAATTGTACAATATTCATAATGCATAATTCCATGGTGCACAAATTTTGGAGAGAGAAAAAATTATTTTCTTGATTTTTTTTTTCAATTGTTCAGTTCAAGAATTAGTTTCTTGATTTAGCCCCCGTTTGGCCCCTATTATTTGAATTTATAATGAAAGAAATAATGTTTTTTTGAAAAATAGATAATTGTAAAAGAATGAAAAAATTTCAATTTGCGTGAAATATTATTTTATTGAAAATTGAGTGATTGAAAATAAGAAAAAGTAAAATTTAAATTAAATTAATGAGTTTCAAAGGGGGCTAAATGGGGGCTTAATTAAAACAAGTTGCCCACCCATGGACGTAGAAGACTTGGAAGTTTGAATCAATTCTTGAAATTAAAAAGGTTGGAAGTTTGTGATTCAAAATTAATTCAAGAATTGATCATCGAATTTAAGTAAAAATTCGAATACTTTATTTTTTATATAATATACACATGAACATCTAGATGATTTTATTCATTGAATTAAAGAATTCTTTTAATTTTCGATAATTACATTTCCACATTCCAACAAATTTTAGGTTGAGGACTACTTTGAAAAATTACCAACCTCTTCCCCTTTGAATTCTCCGTAGCAGGTACTCATATAATTCTAGTTTTTTCTATATTTTACAGAAATAGATACTGAAGCACCCAACCTCGAATTTTTTGGCTTCTGACTCTCCAGAATCATCTATCTCCGTAAGCTTGATTGATACTTTTAATTTACTATTTAATTACTTATTGTTGACCAGTTTCTATCTCATGTTATTTAATTCCCTTTTTCCTAACATTTAATTTAAAATCAATGATAGAATCGTATAATGATATAAGCTGCAATGAACTTATTCGATTGATGAACGAATGGAAATATTTTATATTATTTTTCTCTACGTGTAAAATGATTATCAGTTGCTTGATTTCAGAGTTGACTGGAAAATTTAGAAATTTCATGACTGCACGATCTGAATTTTGTTAACATAAGGTAACTTATGATTTAGTTTGATTTTGTGATTTAGAATCGCGAATAATGCTGAACAAGCAATGGGAGCCCATCATGATTGAGTGTTTTTATGTTGTTTTTCCCAATGTCGAATGAGAATGTGCCACGTGTTGTTTGGAAATGAAATTCTGTCGCTAACTGTGGCTATATAGCTTGGTCGTTAGAATCATTGCTTCCAGAAAAAAAGTTCCATCCTTTACCGCTAAAGCTCTTTAATACAACTGAAACGAAAAGAGATACATTAATTTTGATTTGTCTGACAGTGAGTGAGCCATATTTTTAATTTAATTGTTATTGAGAATTGTTGATAATGTTTTCCTCTTTTCTCTTGTATAGTTTTTCCTCGTTCATTAGTGGCAATTTCGATTATTTAATTAAGAATGTGATTTAACTCGTCCTAATTGTTAGTGTTTCATATTGTTTTCACAGGTGCGAGTGTCTTATGGTGGTTTCTTAAAGAAAAGGTTGGGATAAAGCCTTTTCATTCAGATGGATAAGTAATCTTCTTTCGATGATGAAATGAGGCAACACCCTCCCTGTTTCCCGGTAGAACCATATTTCACCCAAATTTTTTCAGATACGGAAAAGGAGCAGTCTACTTGAAGTCAATATAAGAAAGGGCATTTCAGGTTCGTCGGGGTGCTGGTTTTGGATGCTACTTCAACTTCTGCAAGCTTGGGGTCATCACTTATTTTCGTAAAGTTATATTTGCTGAAGAATTTTATTTTTGACTCTCTCTGTAATCATTATCTGCAATTATTGAGGATACTTAAAAGGAGAAGGAGGTTTGAGGGATTTAAGTAGGTTGGTGCTAGTGATCATCGGATCATGGATACTGTTTGTTGCTGTTTGAGGGGTGGATTTGAAGATTTTGTTCATTCGAACAGCTCAATCTGTGCGAACTTTATTTGCATTCGTTGCTTCGTTCAGAATTTCTTACATTTGGTATGCTTTAAATTATTTACTGTCTATTTAAGTTTTTTGATTGAATTTGATAAATTCAGTTTTGAGCTGTGGGAACCTCCAGTGCCAAAGTCACTGAATGGGTAAGTCCCCAATCCCTGGAATATGTAATCTGCTAGGTTACGGGACATTACAGCCATGCAATCTGTTCTTGTAACTAAAGATGTTTCAATTGGCTCGCAAATCTCTAAACTTTCCTTACAAAATCATTAACTTCCTTACAGTTTGTCTTTACATTATATCAAATATTTGAACTGAAGAAATCGAATTTTGATTTCTGCTTAAAAAACTGTCCACAATATGGATGGTTACTTGACTTCTCAATAAGCTTATTGAGTTTAAGAGGTTCATAATATATGTAGGTTTAAGGTTATGGTTCTGTCAAAATTTTTCATGTGAATCCACATAATTTGCAAGCCTGAAAAGAAAAAACAATAAGAGTGAGACAAAAAGTTCATAATGTGGAATGCAGAAAATTCAATCGAATTACTTGACAGCTGAATCGGGTGCTTGGCTCTCCCCTGCCATAATACCTAAACCCTACTTTAAGGGACACTCCAGTTAAGGATTCTTATTGGGTTAACTGGATAATTTTCTGTGTACAATACTGACATTAATTTTTTATCATTAAAAATTTCATGAGTGTCAATTCACAATGTCAGCGGAATTTGCGCTGCTCATTTGACTGTAGAATACTCATTCTAAAAATTTTGCAGTATACATCATTGTTTTATAGGGAAGAAGAACAGGAAATCGCTTTGTCCACTCAGGGTACATCTTTAAGTTCTGCAGCATCACTTGATAATTCTCTAGTAGACATGTACCATGCTCCTCCAAGACCTCTGCCTTACGATGCAGATCCAAGATATCTTCACTTGCAGCGGGATGGAATGATCTCTGGACGTGAGAAAGGCTCCAGTCAGTCACGTGAGGAAACTGAACCACTGAGGAGAAGTGAAATCGATGAAGATTCAGAATCTTTGAGCAGCACAAACAAATTGAAAGAGTTTACATGTGAAGTAGGACCAAAAGAATGCGATTTGAAATCAAAACGAAGAATCTCAATAACTAAAACAACGAGAGGATTTGCTCATATTAACACTTCTTCAGAGGATGAAGATGTCTGTCCCACATGTCTTGAAGGTAAGAAAATAGCATTTTTTTAGTTTTCTGGCTTTTCCTTTGAGTAACCATTTGTCCTTTTATGTAAAGTACCTGAGTTTGTAGTATTACTCAGGATCACACATTAACAATTTTCCTTATGGTAGTTGAAAAATATGCATTTTAGAACTAAACTTATCCTTTTACTGATCTGGGGCATAGAAATGTGAACCAAGAGTGTTTGACTGGGATAGCCTATAGTAGCATCAATAAAGAAAACTATTATTCCAGGACATAGAATTTAAACAGTCTGAATTTTGGAATTTCCTCTGCAGCACCCACAATTTTTCTTCCCCCGTTTGCTCAAGTTGATGACTGCTGCAGCAAACTGCAATTCAAAATTAGAATATCCTGGATTCTGATTTTTCTTACTTTTGATTCAATGATCTTTTCCTGCAGAGTATAGTACAGAAAATCCAAAGATAATTACGGAATGCTCTCACCATTTCCATCTTGGTTGTATATATGAGTGGATGGAAAGAAGTGATAACTGTCCAGTTTGTGGCAAGGTGATAACTGATCATTCCTTGTATTTTCTCTGTCTGCTTATTCTTTTAAGATTATTTTTTATTTTGTATAAACACAGACTTCCTCACGTACACGGAGTATCAAACGGTTATTACCATATCTTCACGAGAAGCTTTTATTTCTAATTCCATTTTCTCCTCTATACAGTTAGTGCTGTTGCTTTTAGTGGCTAGTACACTCATGATTCGACCAATTCGGCCTGTATGTCCAACAGCATTAATGATAGCTTCTTAATAGTCCTTTGGCGTTTGATTGTGATTAACTTATACTTAGTTTTAAGCTTAGCCAAACATGCTAACCTTAACAGCTGGGGTTTGATTGTGATTAACTGAAATGGACATAATTGCATGATCACGTATCTGTTTCATCCTGTGGTTAATTTTGTTTTGCTTTCCAGGTGATGGCATTCAATGAGACGACATGATATTTCTGAGAAGTATAATCGTGGATGAAACCAACATCAAACAGAAAGGGAAACAAAGAACACGAATCAAACACGTAAAGTAAATGTGAATATTGTATTCCAATATCTTATATTATGACATCACTCGAGCATAGTGTTGTCCCAGTAATCAGTACATTATAATTTCTTTCGACGACTTGCTTTTTCTGTATACTATTTTTCACACCGAGAAATTTTGCTCACACCTCTTGATGAGGTGCTATCTTGTATATACCTTTTCATTCTTCCACCAGTGAATTTTCTTTTACGATAAGATGAATTCACAGTATGTTGATTGTTTGACTGATTTTATACCGGAAGGTGAATATATTGGGCATTGTAGTTAAATTTTGGTTGCTTTGGGAATTCGTTTGTTGCATGTTTGTGAAGTTTTCATATGTCGTTTATTCAGAGGGAAGGTGCGCACACGCGCACACAAGGAAGCCATAGCAAAAATAACCCACATGCTTGTTCTTCCGACAAAAGAAATTCTCCCAATAATTTCTAGCCTAATCTTTTAAAAAAAAAGCATGGATAATACTTTTGTGTGTCCGAGCATTGAGCAACACTTCCAGATGTCATTAATTTGATCATTTATTCTAATATCTTGCCATACAAGGATTCAAATGAATGACTTTCAAATTAAACACATACTAAGAAACGGAAAAAGAAGGGAAGCATTCACTTAGGATTTGGTGATGAAAACTTTTCTCTAACCCTTCTAAAATGTGTCAGCAACTTGCTGCTGTCAGGAAGATTTTCCTTAATGACTGGTTCTTCCCTAAAGTTCAGAGTCCATTCATATAATCGAGGAAAAGTACTAGGTTCCAGAATTTGTTCGCCCACGGCTTCTTGTGTGCGTGCAAACCAATGAGCAAGCCAGCCAAATGATATGTCCAGTAATCCAATTTTATTGCCACCAAAAAATTTCTTATCTCCTAGAGCCTGATCTTCAATAATTTTCAGAATCTCTATTACTTCTTTTGTTGCCTTTTCTTTATCCTCTTCAGTAGCCAGAAAGAATGAGAAAATTGTGCGACCCTTCAAAATCACAAAAATTATTTCTCAGTTTCATGTTAATACTGAATGAAGAAGCGCTAATTATAAAGGTATTAGAATTCAAAATTACCTTTTGCTCTCCAAAATCAATCCAGAATCGAGCCATGGCTCTCTCATGAGGATCTGCAGGCAGCAAAGGGTTCTGACTCCATGTTTCTTCGATGTATTCGAGGATAACCAGTGATTCTGCAACTGGTTTGCCGCCATGAACGAGCACAGGGACCGTCTTGTGAACTGGATTGTACCGTAAAAGATCCTGGCTTTTATTGGAGACGTCTTCTTCTATGTACTCATATTGAACACCTTTCGGCTTCAGTGCCCATATCACTCTGTACACATAAGGGCTTGGCCAAAATCCGTATAGCCTTACTTCTTCCATTGTGGAAAAGATTGAAGATTAAGTTTATTTTTAGGTTTTTAACTTGATTCTTTATGTAGCTTTTATAGCAAGTGTGCTGTTCTTGATAAGACTCGAGAATTTTCCAAGAAATAGAGAGCCCTGGTGTCACCATTGTCTGCAGCTTCCAAGAAGTTTGCTTGATGATGATATTTTATGATAACAATAACAGAACTGCTCTCTTCCCCGAATCGGGAAGAGAGCCTTTTCCCGATTTTCAATTTTTTATTCATTTTATTGCCTTTGGCCTTTTTCAACTCTCCACGCCCACCCATTTACTAATTTTTGTGAAGTATGTTAAGGATACAATTTAAATAGTGTAAAAAAATTTGTGCAATATTCTTAAGAAAAAAGAAAAAAATTGATCTCATACTTAAAAAAAAAATAATAATAATAATAATAAAATAAATAAATATTAAGTTGCTTCGCGCAGTCAGGAGAAGAAAAAAAAATAATTGGACGATTAATTTTTTTTTTGTCAACTTTTTTAATACACGCGTTTGATGTACGTTTAACTATTTTCGATATTCATTTAGATCATTCGATGTGTCTATGATATAGATCTTGAAATGAATTTCGAGAGAATATAGAAGATTTATGCATTTGACTATCGTACAATTGTCGATGAATTTAAAAAAAAAAGTAAAAAAATGTATTTTAAAAATTTTAAATATCTTAAGGGCACAATTTAAATCGTGTAAAAAAAATTTGTGCAATACCCTTAAGAAAAAAGGAAAAAATTGATCTCATATTCTTAAAAAAAAAAAAAAAAAATTTAGTTGCTCCACGCAGCCAGGTGCTCCTGGCTGCCAGAAAAAAAAAGGAAAATAGTATTTTGAAACTTTCGATACCAAGCTAACTTTAAAATCATTTTGAAGTACTAATGACCTAGTATTTCAAGTCATTAACGGTGAACGAAACGATCAATCGTAGCAAATGTTTCGGCGCGTCAAAATAGGCATTTTCAAACTAAGATTTTGAAACTTTTGATACCAAACTAACTTTAAAAATTTTTCGACGATTGTACGTTAGTCGAATCAATAAATCTTTTATATTCTCTTGAAACTCATTTCGAAAACTATATCATAGACATATCGAATGATCTAAATGAATATCAAAAACAATTAAACGTACATCAAACGTATGTATTAAAAATTGAGTAAAAATCGTCTTTTTTTTTTTCAAAAATAAATAAATTATTTTATTAATATTTATTATTTTTTCGCGAAAATTTTTTCAATATAATTTAAATCATTTTATAAAAACAAATTTATGTGATTTGACGTCAATTTTTTTTTTTGGAACGTAAAAATTCCTAATAAAATTATTATCACTTTATAATTTATGCAGGTTATAAATTATTATACTATTTTTTCATCATCATTATTTTTATATATGAAAATTTTTTATACATCAAAAAATTCGATCATTTTTATGAAAAAAAAAAGACGATTATACGGTAGTCAAATGCATAGATCTTCTATATTCTCTAGAAGTTCATTTCGATATCTATATCATAGACATATCGAATGATCTAAATGAATATCGAAAATAGTTAAACGTACATCAAACGCGTGTATTAAAAAAGTTGACACAAAAAAATTAATCGTCCAATTATTTTTTTTTCTTCTCCTGGCAAGTGCTCCTGGCTGCACGGAGCAACTTATCAAGTTTTTTCCCCCCCTTTTTTTCCTGGCAGCCAGGAGAAACTTAAAAATTTTATTTAAAATTTATTTATTTATTTATTTATTTTTTTAAGTATGAGATCAATTTTTTCCTTTTTTTCTTAAGGGTATTGCACAAAATTTTTTTACACGATTTAAATCGTATCCTTAAGATATTGTACAAAAATTAGTAAATGGGTAGGGGGTGGAGAGTTGAAAAAGGCAAAAGGCAATAAAATGAATAAAAAATTGAAAATCGGGAAAAAGCTCTCTTCCCGATTCAGGGAAGAGAGCAGTTCTGTATTATTATTATTATCAGAACTGCTCTCTTCCCCGAATCGGGAAGAGAGCTTTTTCCCAATTTTCAATTTTTTATTCATTTTATTGCCTTTCAACTCCCCACTCCCTACCCATTTACTAATTTTTGTACAATATTTTAAGGGTACGATTTAAATCGTGAAAAAAAAATTTGTGCAATACCCTTAAGAAAAAAAGGAAAAAATTGATCTCATACTTTAAAAAAAAAAAAAAAATTTAAGTTGCTCCTGGCTGCAAAAAAAAAAAAGGGGAAAAACTTGATAAATTGCTCTGCGCAGCCAGGAGCACTTGCCAGGAGAAGAGAAAAAAATAATTGGACGATTAATTTTTTTTGTGTCAACTTTTTTAATATACGCGTTTGATGTACGTTTAATTATTTTCGATATTCATTTAGATCATTCGATATGTCTATGATATAGATATCAAAATGAACTTCTAGAGAATATAGAAGATCTATGCATTTGACTACCGTATAATCGTCTTTTTTTTTCATAAAAATGATCGAATTTTTTTATGTATAAAAAATTTTCAGATATAAAAATAATGATGATGAAAAAATAGTATAATAATTTATAACCCGCATAAATTATAAAGTGATAATAATTTTATTAGGAATTTTTACATCCCAAAAAAAATGACGTCAAATCAAATAAATTTGTTTTTATAAAATGATTTAAATTATATTGAAAAATTTGTCGCGAAAAAATAATAAATATTAATAAAATAATTTATTTTTTTTTAAAAAAAAGACGATTTTTACGCAATTTTTAACACATACGTTTGATGTACGTTTAATTATTTTCGATATTCATTTAGATCATTCGATATGTCTATGATATAGTTCTCGAAATGAGTTTCGAGATAATATAGAAAATTTATTGATTCGACTAACGTACAATCGTCGAAAAATTTTTAAAGTTAGCTTAGTATCGAAAGTTTCGAAATACTAGTTTGGAAATGCCTACTTTGACGAGTCGTAACATTTGCTACGATTGACCGTTTCGCGCACCGTTAACGACTTAAAATACGAGGTCATGAGTACTTCAAAATGATTTTAAAGTTAGCTTGGTATCAAAAGTTTCGAAATACTATTTTCCTTTTTTTTCCTGGCAGTCAGGAGCACCTGGCTGCGTGGAGCAACTTAATTTTATTTTTTTTAGAGTATGAGATCAATTTTTTCCTTTTTTCTTAAGGGTATTGAACAAATTTTTTTTACACGATTTAAATCGTACCCTTAAGATATTTTAAATTTTTAAAATTCATTTTTTAACTATTTTTTTTAAAATTCATCGACAATTGTACGATAGTCAAATGTATAAATCTTCTATATTCTCTCGAAATTCATTTCAAGATCTATATCATAGACACATCGAATGATCTAAATGAATATCGAAAATAGTTAAACGTACATCTAACGCGTGTATTAAAAAGTTGACACAAAAAAATTAATCGTCCAATTATTTTTTTTTCTCCTGGCAACCAGGAGCACTTGCTCCTGGCTGTGCGAAGCAACTTAATTATTATTATTATTATTATTATTATTATAAGTATGAGATCAATTTTTTCCTTTTTTCTTAAGGGTATTGCACAAATTTTTTTTTACACGATTTAAATTGTATCCTTAAGATATTGCACAAAAATTAGTAAATGGGTAGGGGGTGGGGTGGGTGGGGGTGGGGAGTTGAAAAAGGCTAAAGGCAATAAAATGAATAAAAAATTGAAAATCGGGAAAAGGCTCTCGTCCCGATTCGGGGAAGAGAGCAGTTCTGAATAATAATATGAAATTGACAGGAAAATAGTTTTAGATTTTTCAAGACCAAAAAAAAAAAAAATTCTGATAATAATAATAATATGAAACTGACAGGTAAATAGTTTTAGATTTTTCAAGACCAAAAAAAAAAGGGGGAATATATATTAGACAAATTTTGCAGCCGCTTGACTTTATAGCCCGTCTGACAGCGCTATTTCACCCCCAAAAAAATTGATTTTTTTGAGCTGTCACATGCGTCTTTTTTTAATTTTTAATCTAATGTTATAATAATCAAATCGGTTTTTAGATTCAATGTCCATTCTACACTTATATATTAATAAAGGTAACAATTGATTGATTAGTAATGACAATTTACATGAATTTAATGAATTCAGCCACATTCTTGCATTCAGGGAACCTTACAAATTAATGGAATAAAAAATTTAACATGCATAGCGTTTTCTATCAAAATCTGAAAAAATCCAAAGATAAATCAATACCAGACATGAGCGGTTTAGAATCTATATTTGGCGCGATTATTTCGCGGTTGGAATTGATTTTCCTCGACTTACCACATAATGAGGGAATCCGCTTATATGTGCTGAGAATGAAGATCCTAAATGACCTTAAGCAAAACGAAAGTTTTTGTTGGTCACATTAATTAGATTACGCTAATGTGCCAGCGACATCTAAAATGAAAGATACTTCTATCATTTTTGGTATGATAGACTTGGCAGTATTGGATAGAGTTAAGGAAGAAAAAGAAATAAAATTATTTGTCCTGTACAAGATAACCTAGTATTGGGTACTATACATGCAGGTGTGAAGCCATGATAAAAATTCAGTGCGGGAACAAATTTTATCGACATCGAACGTCGAGTTTTTATAGGGCAATACTATTTTCAATTTAATTCAAAATTTCACAATATCACAGGATAATACTAATTCCAGAATTCCCACTTTACAGTGCAATTTCACAATTTCTATTTTCTCACTAGTCACTTCACAATTTACAGCACAATTCACAATTTCACATGATATACTCATCCAAATCTTAACAATTTGATATGGAATTTGAAAATGACACTATACCTCTAGAGTGGAAGCATTCATAATCACCAGATTCACCACCATGTTCCCAAATAACAGTAGTTGCATCAAAACTTCCTGTCACTAACAATTTACCAAATGCATATGCCTACATGTTGCAAGAACATGTACTTAGAGTAAGAGTCACACAGAAAATGAAGTAACCAACATTAAGGGCGTGTTTGATTACATTTATTTTCCATGGAAAATATCAGTTTTCCGTCCAAATTTCTACTTGGAGTGTTTGATTGCTATTTTTTTCCATGGAAAATATTTTCCAACTTTTGAAAATATGCCTAATTTTCTTTATTTTTAAGGAAAATATTTTCCTTGAGTAGAGGTAGTTTTTATTTTCCACAAAAGA